GATGCGGGGCTCGATCCCAGGACCCTGGGATCATGACCTGAGCCGAAGGCAGACGCTTAACGACTGAGCCACCCAGGCGCCCCTGATGCATTAGAATTTAAGATAAAATTACCTTTTTGTGAATGTGCTGGTGAAGCAAGGCACCATCATGGGAGACAGGCTGGTGAAAAGCTGACCTTCTGAAGAAAGTCTCTAGGCAGGGAACCTTTCCCCTCCTCTAAAGGGCAGGGGAGAGTATTGGGAGATTATTTACAGTGCTTTGCATAGATCATTTTAGGCATGCAGTTTTTATTCAGACATCGTGGATTTTTCTTTTTCTTTTTTTTAAAGATTTTATTTATTTGAGCGAGAGAATGAGAGAGAGCACATGAGAGTGGGGAGGGTCAGAGGGAGAAGCAGACCCCCGCTGAGCAGGGAGCCCGATGCGGGACTCGATCCTGGGACTCGATCCTGGGACTCCAGGATCATGACCTGAGCCGAAGGCAGTCGCTTAACCAACTCAGCCACCCAGGCGCCCCATCCTGGATTTTTCTTAGGTATATCCGATGTCATCTTTAGGATCTAGAGATGTATTCTGTGGATGTGCTTTTGTGGATTTTGCTTTCCTGGGGTGCTGGATTGTCTGATGTTAGGGCTGATGCATGAATTCTCTCTGCCTGTGAAGGGGAGGATGAAAGTGCGGTGAGTTGGGTGGCTGCTCTTTATTTGTTGGCAATTTATAACCGAGGTCCATTATAAAACTCCTCCTCTGCCTTGCAAAGCACCTCTGCCATGTTACCGGCAGACGGGGGCCGCTTCTTGGGGTACTGTTGTCGGCCGAGGGATGACATGCTCTTGACTCTGTGCTGCCACGGTCATGCAGACAAGGCTGAAGTTCATCAGCTTTGTTTTTGGCTTTGAGCTTGGCCCCATCTCCCAGTGCCACTTCCTCGAGAAAGGAGCAGGCAGAGGAAGTGGCTTCTAATCTTGCTTTATGATCCTGGGCAAATCATTTCCATTTGGCGTCGGTTTCTCCGAGTGTGGTAAGAGGATTGCCAGAGGGCTGAGCACCCAAAGGTTTCAGGCTTTGCCGGCATTGTCATGACCCAGCGCCACCGTCAATCACGGGCGTGGTGGGCCTGACTACCCTTTTCTCCCTTCCCTGTGCCATCATACATTTAAACAGTCAATCCTGGGTGGTGTTCCCGAGGTCACTGGAGGGGGAAAAAAAAGTTACAGATAACCCTGCCACCCCAGCATAATCACTGTTTTTATTTTGGGTATCAAATGTCAGTGTTTGGCCACATGCGTATGTTTAAAAAAAAAAAAAACAGGCACACTAACACCACAAATTTGTTCTTCCCCTCCTGCTCTGTCTAGTAAATGGGTTAGCCATTTAAGCATCATTATCCATAAATATCACCTTAATGGTTACTGGCCATAGCCTTTGGGTTGATGTAGTCCTGTATTTAACCATTCTCCTAGTCTTAGACAACTGATTTCTCAGGAGGGCAAATGTTAAGTTTTTCTTTTTTTTTTTTAAAGATTTTATTTATTCATTTGAGACACAGAGATACAGAGAGAGAGCATGAGCAGTGGGAGAGGCAGAGGGAGAGGGAGAAGCAGACTCCCGGCTGAGCCAGGAGCCCGATGTGGGGCTCGATCCCAGGACCCCGGGATCATGACCTGAGCCGAAGGCAGACGCTTAACCATCTGAGCCACCCAGGCGCCCCGGAATGTTAAGTTTTTCAAAAGCTCTACAGATGGTTGTGATGTGTGGAGCTGCTGTTATATCTTTACCTGGCTTTTTCTCTTTTGCTTTGAAACGAGTGCTGCAGTGAACAGCTTCATGCATGGAATGCTTTTCATCGCAACTATTTCCTTAGGATACATTCTTAGCTGTGGGAAGCCTTACCGAAGGGTTTGAATAATTTCATGCTCTTGAAACACATTGCCCAGTTCTTTCCAAGACGACTGTACCAATTTACTCTGTCATCAGTAATGTGATTGTTCCAGCTTCCCAGAGGACTCATCATTGTTGGATTTTATTAATTTTTTTCTTTTTTTTTTTTTTAAATAAACGAACTTAACTGGTGTGGAATGACCCTCCTTACATACAGCAAAATTTGCATTTTATTTGGTTGTTGGTGAGGTTAAACTTTTTTTTTTTCTGTATTTCAGGCTGTCATTTCATAGACTCAGACTTCTAGTCAGAAGGGATTTAGAGAGGGGCATCTGGGTGGCTCAGTCTGTTAAGCGTCTGCCTTCGGCTCAGGTTATGATCTCAGGGTCCTGGGATCGAGCCCCGCACCGGGGTCCCTGCTGAGCGGGAAGCCTGCTTCTCCCTCTCCCACTCTCCCTGCTTGTGTTCCTGCTCTCGCTATCTCTCTCTCTGTCAAATAAATAAAATCTTCACAAAAAAAGAAGGGATTTAGAGATTATTTCCTTTTTTTGTATGCTTTGTTTTTCACGTTCTTGCCCGTTTATCTGTTGCCAGACACTTCTTACCAACACTCCACTGAGTTTTTCTCTTGGCTTCCCGCTTGGTTCAAGGAAACCAAAAGATCAGTTTGCCAGCCCTCAGCACAAGCAGCATTTTTTATGAGCCATCAATTTGCAATTTAATGGTGGTGGAGTTTCCGCTCCCTAAGCTGACTTTGGGCAAGGTGCCACTGGATTGCTTTGAGACCCATGGGCAATTACTCTTGAGCAGTCTTCGCCCTGTTTGAGCTTCAGACAGCACTCATTATATATTACTCTGCGTGTAATGGCGAAGTGGGCAGACGTGGGGGGGTGGGCTCTTCAGTCTAGTAATTAGACAAGGTGTAAGGAGTATGAAAAGGTGGAGAGCTGAGCTCTTAGGAATCATAAAATCCTGAAACTTCAAGTTCACATGCCCGGAAGGACATGTGTTCTCTTTAGGAGCCCTGGAGAAAACGCCAGGATTTGGTTCCTCGCTGGCCTTGGAGGTATTTGACCATATTGAACTCAGTTAAAATATCCATGCACATGAATCTCATGCCTCCTAAGATAGGATTTCTTCCTGTAAACAGTCTTATTCAGACGCTATTGAGGAACAGCTTATCTGGTTGTATCTTGGTCACTGAGTTTAGGGTGTGTGGGGATTCCATCTTAGTTCCTCGAAGCATTCCTTTGAAAGTGTTGAATGTGTGCCGTCGTGCGGTCAGTGTTAGTGGGGCAGGTCTGGTGAGGAGCTTTGTCCGCGTTCAGAAGGAGTCTTGCCGTCATGCTTCCCGTCTTGCGTGGAGAAGACTTTAATGCCAGAAGCTGTTAGGAAGCTGGCCGGAAGCTTTATGTAAACGTGATTTTATTTATTTTATTTTTTTAAGATCTTATTTATTAGAGAGAGAGCGCATGTGAGCACAAGCAGGGGGAGCGGCAGGCAGAGGGAGAAGAAGGCTCCCCATTGAGCAAGGAGCCTGATATGGGCGGGACTCGATCCCAGAACCCCGGGATCATGTCCTGATCAGAAGGCAGACGCTTAACTGACTGAGCCACCCAAGAGTCCCTCTGTAAATGTGATTTTAAACATACAGGCTTCCTTTGCTAAATGACAGTAGGATCATGAAGGGCCTAGAGAAGTGTTTGTGTTACGGGGCAGCTTCTAAGTGGATTTGAGGAAGGCCTTGAAGGGTCAGGGTAGGAGTCTAGCACTTTGTAATAGTGTAGCTGTAATTGACATAGTTGCTCCCTTGATTCTGACTAAGCGATTGTCAGAGACCTGGGGCCCAGCAGTTGAAGTGACTTCCCTGAGGACACCTAGTGCTAATCCGCTGAGATGCAAACCCAAGTTTTTGGATTATCAGGGCCAGCCCTGTTATCATAAGCGAATCAATGAAGGGAGTTGGCATTGACAAGGAAAACAGCAGATTGTTCTGGGCAGGTAATCTGGATTCCTACTTCCTGCTCCCCCAGTGTGTGGTGGCTATCCATGAAGTAAGGCTTGATGCTGGGGCCTTTCACCTGCTGCTTAAGTTTCTGGGCATGAAGTTGCTTTGGCAGATCTGGTTTGGGGAAAGCTCTCGAACGCCTTAACGTTGTTGCTTTACATGGTGTCCTAAATACAGTCACAGGGAAAATTTATAAGTGTCGTGACTATTAGCAGGTACCGAATGTATGTATCTGCAGCTTTGGGCAGGAGAATGATTTCTAGGTGGAAAATACGGTTTGCTTTGGGTTTTTTGTTCATTTGTTTTTCCACTGGAGTTGTCCAGCCTTCCGAGCAGGTAGAAGGCAGTCTTAAAAGAGTCTGAGAACTTTCTTAATACCTGCTTAAGCCGGGTCAAATGTCCCATTGAACCTGCTTGCAAACTCTGTGGTCAGAAGCCCAGGTGGCAAACTGTTGCTTGTTAATTTGTGCTGAATTAAAGATCTGACCAGAATATCCTTGCACTGAAGCAAGAGATAATACTTAAGAATTATTGTCAGTTTTTATGCTGCCATTCACACTCTTTTCAGGGCTGGGGAAAATGTTTATGAAACCCTCCTGGGATGGCGGTGATGTTTTCGAGCTCATAAGGCACTGTCAGGGAAACAAGTTGCATCCTCACGCTGCAGGAGGGTAGGTATACTGTCATTAGGGAGAATCCGGGCAGCTTGGAGAATTTCCGGGTAAACCAGAGGTGAGATCTGAATTTAGCTTTGTGGCCCCAAATCAGGGTCACTTGTTGGAGGCTAGTTTAGGATGAGGGCTTAGAGACCTGGCAGAGGGCGGGGGAGACAGCTGGGATAACAGCCTCCTATGTTGCTCTTATTTCCATTCTTTCTCCAGACCATTTATTGAGAATTCCCAGGACAGATGGTATGGCTTTTGATGTCTCTTCATCGGTCTGAGCTTTGATCTTTAACCTTCTTCTTCTGTTTCATTCTTACTTACTCTCACCTGATTTATATTGCCTATGCTTTAATCTGTACTTCTTTTATTTTGTTTTTAGGAACTTTGATATTATTAAAGGTTTATGAGTTCATTCCATTCAGGGTCTTAACCGACCCTGACAGTTAAGTTCAGTTCTACCTTGAAGCCATCCTATGTAATAACACATATCATTATTATTACTAATTAAAGAGATCATCTTTTCTTCTTAAACCAAAATAAATTCCATTAGCAGCACTAGGAAGAGAATTAAGAATGGCGTTTATGATTTTGGGGTGTTCTAACCCTGACCCGAAAGCCAGGAACATAGGAAAAATATTCTTTAGCAAATGACCACATAAAAATTTAAAGTTACTCCTGGCAATAAATCCATAGTAAGCAAGGTCGAAAGACAAGTGGCAAGCTGGAAAAGCTATGGAAAGTGTTGATATTTGTCATATGGAAAGAACTGTGACAAAAAGACAGTGAATAAATACCAAGGGAAAAATAAAGGAAGGGAAAATAGTGGACCAGTAAATATGTGGAAAGATGTTTAGTTAGCTTCAGGAAGAATCTAAGTAATGCAAATAAAAGTGAGATCATTGTTTTAATCTATTAGGTGGATAGAGATTAAAAAAAAAAAGATCAACAAAACCCCGTATTGACATTGGGTAGGAGAGCAAGCCCCCTCATAGATGGGTGATACTGTAAATTGGTAACCTTCTCTGCTGGGCAGTTTATCAGCATGCATTACAGGGTAAAACATGTATACCCTTATACCCTTTGACCTACCAGTTTCACTTCTAGCGATTCCTTTTAGAGATCTATGTAGAGGGCTATTCGACACAGAGTTTGTAATTGTGGAAAATTAGATGAAGCATAAATATCCACTGATATCAGGAGTGCTTAACCACCACTATGCTTGTATAGTGGAATGATGTTCTTATTCACCTTTGTATTTATTGAGTGGGAGGGTATCCATAATACAGTTTTGGGTGGAAATAACATAGTATAGAAAAGCCATGTATATAATGGGACCCCTTGGTGTAGGAAATATATCTTTCTACTCTGGGCTTGTACGCATGTATGCATTGAGAGTGTGGAATGATCCTTTCCAGAATCACCAAAATCTTACTCGTGGTTATCCCTGGATGACAGACTTAAGTTTCTTTTGACTTTCTTTTATATTTCTGTGTATATATCTCGTTGTGTGCCTGTGTATGCTCAAAGTGACCATATATCCTCTTTAAAAGTGGACCTTAAATGTGAATTTTGGAGAAGGGGAAAGTACAGAATGGTATTAGAATGTACGGTAGGTAGGGAGTAAGGAATAAGGACCTACAAGTCCACAAAGGACATCCCTACTCCTATACGTGTACTCAAATATATATTCCTGTGCCAAGTAAGGGGAAGCCTGCCCATACTTTCGAGGAGAGCCATGACCTTGAGTTAGCTTGAGTGTGTGGCTTTGATCAAATGAGCTGGGTGGGGCTGACACAGTTCTCTTTTCGCACCTGGTACAGCTGCACCTTTTTTGCATAGATCTGTTGCTCCGCTGGGTAAAGCAAGGTCATGGTTTTGCTCTCTGTACCAGTCATTTCCCCCTTTCTTCCAAGGTGAGATCTGAAACCCTATCTCATTGGTGGTCAGGGAGAATTGAGTTGGTTTGGCCTAAATCCCATCCCTTCAAACCAGAGGCCTTGTTGCCTTGTTGCTCAGTTAACTAGGATTGTCTTGGAAGACGAAGGCAGCTCTTTTTAATGTACTTGATTATACAGTTTCTGAGTTTTCTACTTCATCTTACTTATTCTATTCTCTGTTTCTCAAGGGCATGGTCTGTACGCTTCATAATTTTCTTCTCCTCATGTTCCTTTTCATTGCCTAATTCAGTAATAGAGGTGGCATTAGTAAGCATTGACAGAAAATGATGAAATAAATAAGGTCAAGGCTAGGACTCTTCAGATGACTTTTTTTTTTTAAGCAGAACTGGTTCTTCAGAGTTAGAGGAAAGCAGAGCTGCTTTGCATTGCAGGAGGAGATTGGAGGCCGGGTGGGCAGGTGGATTCTACCCTAGGCTGGAAGCAGAGCACTCTTTGTTGCCTCCCTTGGCCAGTTTGTCCCTTGCAGCAGAGGGAATGCTGTGGATTTGGAACTGAGCAGGGACCTCTCCTACTTTCTTTACAAAAGCCTGGGCCACAGACTCAGGACATAATTTGTGACCTTCTGCTGACCCATGGGACTCTATCAGCAAGGTGCTTGCATTTGATGCCGCATTGTGGTGAAACTCGACAGATAACCCAGCACATCTCGATTTGACCCTCATGCTGGACATGGGTTCTGTTTCAGCAGTGTTTTCTTGGCCTGTTGAAATAGTGAGACTCAGTGAAGGCTACTAATGTTAAAGTCCCATTTGAGTTGTGTAAGAGTTGGGACAAGCAGAAAGGTGGTCCCATGAGCTCCTTTCTTCTGCTCTCTCACTTTTGACCTTATCTTGAAGGCTAGACCGAGTTTGTTGGTGCCCCTGCCCCACTGGCTTCTGACACCAGTTGGAATGAACTTGCTATAACGACATAAAAATGCGGTAGTACACCATAATTGAAGAAGCATACGAGGGGGTTTGCACTCACCAGGTTAAAGGATCATATAGCCTTAAACCATGTAAATTTTCTGACTCAATTAAACTGCCCATTATCTTTCTTTTAAGTGACCAATAAAGCATGCGATTATGTCTTACTTTGTAGGTGGGATTAATATCTACTGTTTATCTCAAGATAAATATTAGCAACATAGCTTGGGAAAGCAATTTTATGCCCTCAAGAGTGAGGTAGTGGAGGGCTAAAGTGTTGGGTATGATGTTTTATCTTTCTGAACTGATTATGAAGTATACTAAACATTTATATGGCTTTGTCTTTATAGACTGAAATCGCCAAGAGATTGAATACAATTTGTGCACAAGTCATCCCATTTCTGTCTCAGGAAGTAAGTAAAACTGTTCAGCTGTTAAAGTGCAATTATGTTGCTTCTCTGTTTGCAAATTAGCTAGTTTTAAGATGTTAATTTTATCACAAGGAACAAGTGTGAAGAACATCTGCTACAGCTGAAGTGAGTGAACCCCCTGCTATCCCATCTAACAGAGCTGAGGGCACACTGTAAACGTAGTGTGGATAGCTCAACCTCAGATTAATTTTTTTTTTTTTTCCCATGGAAGACTGCAAAATGATTCAACGTAAAGCTTTGCTTTTCTTTGAGGAGTAGTATTAGCTTGGGAAGCTACTGATGATTCTAGTGTCCTTCTAGAGAGCTTTTCCTGTACTGTATTTTAAAAATGGTTCCATCAGGGTTGACTTGACCATGGAAGCAGGTGTTTCATTTGTCCCTGTACATCAAGTCAGGTCTGCGTGGGAAAAGCTCTTTATATGAGTAATCTGTGAAATGGACTCAAAACCAATATAGTTTAGTTTTGCCTTCAATTTTACTTTTGGATACAAGCTAGTAAATGATAAACTGTGTGTTCAGTGTGTACAGGATGCATGTATCTTGAGACAGTGAAAAGCTTACTGGGACCCACAGCTAGAATACTGGGTGTCTGTTCCTGTTGGAATCTGCTGCTCCAGAGTGGATAGCAGGTCTCCTCTCTGCCTTTTCCAGTGTAACGTCTATTCATTGATACAGTTTAGATGTGTTGGCCTTTGGAATGGTGTTGTTAGACTTTAGTAATACTGGTTTCTGCTACAGTCTCATGCCTCCCAAAGCAAAGATGTGACTTTGTTTTTATTTGTGAGTGGAGTTGGGAGACATGCAGAGTGTTTCCAGCCTGTGAACTAAGAGTTGGGCGGGTGGGGGGAATCCTTCCTTTTCCCCTCAGGAAGATAAAAAATCTTAAGGCTAAAGAAGGAGCGGAATCCCCAAAAACTACTGGCGGGTTAAGATTTGTTGACCAGAGAAGTAATCAAAGATTGAATGTTTAAGTTTTAAGTATAGAAATGGGGGTTTTAAACTGGCTGTCAACTTTACCTGCTCAAACTTAACAGCAAACCCCTTTTGCAAACCTGGGTCATCTTCCAAATCCCCAATACCAGTGATTTTCTAAGGCTTCCAGTTACCAGTTTTGACGTCTTCTTTGACTTTTCTATCATTCCAACCCCAAAATTCCCATCAGAAGTTAAGTGGGAACTAGTGTTGGTTAGAAATAAGGGAAGCCCTGTCTGTTTTCCTTTTCCTGCTGTACATGTGTTCTGTGAAATAATCTGTGCTTGAGAAACTTCCCATTTAAATCCCCATATTCTGCTTGAATCTGCATTGCATATGCTTTTATATTTTTGTTGTTGTTGTTGTTTTTGGAAGGTACAGTGAAATTCTTTGGCTGCCTTGCTAACACTTTTTCTTCTCCTTATTTTCAAAGCATCAACAACAGGTGGCCCAGGCTGTCGAGCGTGCCAAGCAGGTGACCATGGCAGAGTTGAATGCCATCATCGGGGTACGTGGCCTACCAGGTCTACCTCCTACAGTGTGTATAACCAGCTTTCATTTCTTATTAATTTGATGGCTTAATCTATCTGTATATATAATGTCCTGTAGGCTTAACGTTGGCTTGTCGGTAAGGGTGGGGGAGGAGGGCTCAGGTATGCAAGGTGTGTAGAGGAAGACAGATGAGCATAAGGAAAGTGATAGAAACATTTTTAGGAGGGGAAGAAAAATAGATCTACTATTCAGTGGGAAAATAGATACAGTTCATACCCTGACACTTAAACCACCCTTGCTCTCTTAGTCAAGTAAAAAGCTCCAGGTTAGAGTTTTAAATACTTTCCTTACTTCGGGCTTATTACAACTTTGGATCGCAGGGAGGTCAAGACATGTCTCAGCATGATCCTTTCCTTTAGCCATCTTTGCTTTTGCCTTTTGCTTTCTGGGGTGTTAGACCCAAGAGAACTGTTTGCTCTTTCTCTTCCTTGTGCCTCTTGCATGAATTTTTAAGTGGCACCCCAATGGAAAGAGCGCTCTCTTGCCGTTGAAGAAGTGATAATTGTCTGCCCCAGTGCTCTCTAGCCTTTCACCAGGTTTCTGCTCTCCTGCCTTGAGTTCAGTTAGTGCTCCACGCTGACGACTGGTTGTCAATCACAGGTCATTTGCTCTGCATTAATGAGCCCAGTGTTCCATCTCGTCCCCCACCCGTCCCCCCACCACATCCCCCTGAGTTTGCCCTCGCCACTGCAGGCCTGGGGACCCCGGGACCGTTCTCATGTTTTCTGCCCTTCCAGACTAAGCCAAAGAAGTAGCTGAAACAAGGGACCATCCTTTCTGATTTTATTCATATGTGAGTGCCTTGAGCGGATTCAAATCACTCATTTATCAATTTATGTTAATTGCTTGTGAGAAGATGCCCTGCTGGTCTTTATAGTTCCCTCAGACACTTTGTAATGATAATTAGACATGCTGCTGTATGGATTAAGAGTGCCATAGTCCAATGACGGCCACAGACAATGGAACCAGTTAATCCATCAGGGTTTAAAATTACATCCCAACTGGAGATGGAGAAAAAACATAAGAGCCGAGGAGGATTAAAGAATGAGCCTCAGCTTGAAAACTCTCCTTTCATCAGTTTCTCAATTGCCGATCTGCAGTCGGGTTGCCTGTGGTAAGCTATTGGCAGTCAATTAGGTGAAATAAAGTGGGAGGGTGACCTTCATTTCCTTTTAATAGCTTTTTCCTCCCTGAAATGGGGAGCTTCAGTGGATTTTCAGCTTAAATTTTATTCAAGCTGCTTTATTACACTTGACAGCTTAGCTCTGCATAAACAATTCTCCCCTCCTCCTCTTCCCCCCAGACCCAGGCTCTGCCTTTCTCCCCCTTCCACCCTTAGATCACATTTTTGACTGTTACTTAGTGGGCTCTCTAATCACATTCAACAAAAAACACAATTACATCTGCATTTGTCGGCTGCTTTCTGTACCCTTTTCTTGTGTAATGAATTGCTTTATTTCAGAGATCAAATCAAATATTCACTGGTACTTTTGCATGTACCGTGTTTGATTAGCAAAGACTAATAGCAAATTGTACTTGTAGCTCAAGCACAGAAATTTTTTAACCCAAATGAATGAGGATGGAAAAGCCTGTTTTGATTAAAGAGAAACATATGCAAAGCAGTTTTCAAGTACCCAGTTACACTTTGTGGAACATGTTTGTTTTCTGATAGTCTCTAGATTTTTACATATCCTTTCTCGATGGTGAACCTCGTGCTCGTAAATTCTCCAAGGCCCTGTCCAGTCCCACACATTAGAAAGGAGGAAATTGTATTAACCAGATGTTTATAGGTAAGACTCCTTTTGAACTGAATCAGAAGATGAAAATGGCAGGTCGCTTGAGAAGGGCAGATGAATCGCTAATTTTATGAATGGCTTTCATCCAGGAAACATGTTGTTGAGATTATAAAGGCAGATTAGCTCTGATAGCTAGCAACAATAACCCAAATCAGGGAATTGGGCCCCGAGCACAAGACTTAACGCCAATTGCATGTCTTCAGCCTACTAGCATGTGCGGTTTTCCTAATTGTAAATTTTTGGCTCAGTCTATTAATTTATGTCAGAAGGCTCTTTGAAAGTTTGTAGTGATCAATAATTACCCTGCACTGTAAGTTTCATGCTCTGGCATATGCTTGATTTTTGCTCGAAAGGAATTGTGCACGTCCTGGAAAATTGAAGTAGCATAAAATTGAGTTGACAATTCAGTGGACCTTTGCACCCCTTCATTGAACATGCAGTGTGTCAACCTGTCTCCCCAGAGGGGAGGAGGCTCCGGCAGGCTGTCTGTTCCTACAGGCAGCAGCTGTGCAGAGTAAATGCAGCCCCCGCTTGATAGCCGCTGTCAGTATCACTCAGGGGCCGGCTCAGGACGAAGAACAATAGGAGAGGCCACGCTCTTCGTCTGCATCGACTTTGAGGCTAAGAAAAGAAATAGTAATTTAACGGTTTAGACATCTATTACAAGTGTGAAAGATCATGAAAGAGTAGCCTTTAAAATGCAAAGGAGCCGAAACATTCTCCTTCCCTTTAAGGTACAGTCAAGGGGCTTATTGCTTGCTTGGCAGGGCTAAAGACGTTTCTCTTTAGCAGACCTGGAAAACGTGAAATCTTCTCAAGGACGCCAGCGCTGCTAAGGTGGGCTCAGCTTGTGTCCTGGGACTGTGGATTGGTCTTAGAGGAGGAAGGGAGGTTCTATTTTTTTCTGTCTGTGTTGAGTGAACTAATGATGCCCATTTCTCAACAGCATGGGAAACTTAGTTCTCCTACCTGACAGAAAATACTGAATTTTAAACCTTTTCCATTCCAGACACCACCTGCCTTCAACTTATATAGATTACTGGTATTTCAGAAAGATAAGCTTCTTAGATACTTGATATTTGGAGAAACTGTTGAAATAGTTACTTTTCGTGGGGTACTTCTTTTAAACAGTTGGGATGGATAGCAGATTTGATAATTGGCAGAATAATAACTGCAACCCTACTTTTTGAATTTTGCTTTTTATTAACTTTTTTGCTATTAAATGTGTTATGTTCTTGTAGCAATACAAAGAGTAATAATGCAGAAATCTTAATAGGTATAGGGTTTATTTGGTGTGACACACAGCTCACTTGTGCTTTAGAAAACAGGTTTGTGTGGGAAGGGAACTTACTGGAGACCTTAATTTTTTATTTTTTTAAATTTATTCCTTACATCAGTACTGCCTCCGTGATGTAAGCAGAATTCCTCAAAGATTTTTTTTTCCCCCAATTTGGAATTCTATTAAAAATGCTCAAAACAAAATAGATGACAACACTTTGTGGAATGGTCGATATCTTCCATTCCACAAAGGGAAAACGATTGAAGGACTCTTCGAGATCACTTTCCCCTGTATTATTTGAGGGAGCTTGGAACTAAGAACTTTCTTCTACTTGCTATGATAATAATTGATTTTAGTTGAGATTGGGCTTCCAGATAATTAGTGTTATGTTTTAGTGGGTTTTTTTTTTAAATGGTTTTTTTTTTTTTTT